CCACCCTTTTTCCCCTTTTTAAAAAACCAGAAAGGGGGGGGGGGGAGATGTGGAAGCTGGTGCTCAGGGGGAGCTGGCTTAAAAGCTAGCTCCCCACAAGCACTGGATCCTGCAGAGCTGCCTGCCCTCTCCTCTCCCCTGTACTGTTGCCTCTCTACAGGCAGTCCCCGGGTTACGATAGGGACTATAGGTTTGTTCTTAAGTTGAATTTGTACGTAACTCGGAACTGGCTCCAGATTCAGCCGCTGCTGCTGAAACTGACCAGGGGCTGACTACAGGAAGCCCGAGGCAGAGTTGCTCTGCCCCCAGCTTCCTGAAATCAGCCACTGATCAGTTTCAACAGCAGCTGCATCTGGAGCCTGGGACAGAACAGCTGGGGCGCTGCTGGGTAGGTCCCCCCAGGACCAACGCGGCAACACCCCAGCTGCTCTACCCCAGCCATCCACAACAAAAGCCTGGTCTGCTGGGGACCCCTCCCAGCAGACCAGGGAGACCCGAAGCAAAGCCGCAGAGGCGGCGGGGGCCTGCGCTTCCAAGGCTTTGCTCTGGAGGAAGCGAGCAGCTTTTCTCGTCCCGGAGGACACGGTGGCGGGACCACTGCGTGTCTGGGCGGTCCCGCCTCCCGCGAGTTCCGGGGAGAGAAAAGCCCCGTTCGAAAGTGCGGATCCAACATAAGTCGGATCCGCGTAACTCGGGGACTGCCTGTATATCAGAGGTAGCAGTGCAGGGGAAGCGCAGGTGGGAACATGGAGGTAGCAAGGGAGAGGGGAGGTGGGAACTGGTGCCCCCTCCTCCCTGTGCTGTTCCCTCTGCATCAGAGGCAGCAGCGTGGAGTGGCAGAGGATCCCAGGGAGCTGGGAGTGCACTAGCTGCCAGCCCCACCCCAAGGACCATTTCAGTAACAGTATAGCCATTACAAATTGTTGTGGCTACATGATTACTGAAAACAAGAACTCTCACATTCCTAATGTGGGAGAGCTTGGTTGAGGTCACAGCTGTGTGATAGCACAAGCATGGTTGCGCCTGGTTCTGCACAAAGGGAGGGAGAAGGTGAGCAGAGCCATCTCTCCCCGGTCAAGCCCCACCCTTGCTTGCCTGCAGAGGCCAGGTACAGTTACATTGAGTATTTGAAACCCATGGTGGTAACTTACCAAGCAGGGCCATGGGGAGGCAGCACCGAGTCGGCGGCTGGCCTGGAGCTGAGTGCTGCATTCTTGTACTGGCTAGTGAGCCGCTGCTGCAGCACTTTCTGCTCCCTGCTGTGCTCAGATTTTGCCCCAGGGCTGCTGCTGGGGTGTGGCCTCCCTGCCATGTGTGTCTACCTCCCTTCCAAAACACAGCCGGACCTCGAATCCCTTCCCTCAGCTGAGGAAAATGCCTCCAGGCTCCCAGTGCACAAGGCCAGGAGCTGAAGCCTGGGGAGTGCCAGCCAATCACACAGTCCTGAGCAGTCGTCGTTTTCACCTGGAAGGCCCAGAAGAGCAGAACAAGAAGTGAATTGGTATTACTAGGTTCAGGGATACTAACCCTCCTACAAGGAGCTGGGTTCCCTCAACATACTTTGAGGGAGAAGAGCTAGTTAAGGCCATGTCTACACAGCAGCATTATAATAAAGAGCATCTCTGCACCTACAAGCCATTATTTTGAAATAATGTTGAGCTGGAGGACTTCTTACTCTGACTCCTGTAACCCTCCTTTCACGAGGAGTAAAGGAAGTCGGAGGAAGAGTGTTCTTCCTTCAACTTCCTGCTGTGTAGACAGCGCCTACGCAATTGATGTAGCTGAAGTTGCCTAGCTTAATTTCACTTTTGCCCTGCTGTGTGGACGTGTCCTGAGCAGGGGTGGCCCGTGAGCCTAGGCGAGCAAGGCAGCTGCATAGGGCACTGCTGGCCGGGGCACCCGATGATGACGTCATGGCCATTGATGGCTGTGCAGGCAGGGGTGCCACTTGCACCGCCCCGCGTAGGGCGCCAGCTGCTGCAGCCGGCCTCGGGCCGCTTCTGGTCCTGAGTGTTTCTGGAAGCTTCTCTTGCATAGTTTTCAACAGTGTGTCAGTATCACAGGGTAATCCAGTGTTCTCCTACTGCAGCATGCTTGCCATCTGGAACAGGCCATAGTTTCTAGTTAGGCAATGCAAATTTGTGTCTTGGTACTTGCATAAGAAAGATGGAAGCATTTCTAGGTTTTCTATGACCTTCTAGTATAGGACTGGGCAAGATATGGAATGGGGGCCAGATCCAGCCCACCTAACACTTCGATCCGGTCCACTGGCTGTATCTGACTGCTTTCTATTGATATCCTGCTGCCTGTGCCACTGAATTTCCAGGCAGTGGCTCACGCAGCAGGATCCTATTTAAATGGTTCACGGCACTCAGTTGCAGCACTACCCCTGCAGGGTTTGAAGCTGTTAGCCCCCTTAAATAGCCATAGCAACCAGCTGCCAGGCACTATGATAGCAGTGGGGCTGTGAGCCCTTCTTGGTGTTTTTACTTCAAAGCCTTTGGGCCCGGCCAACTCTGGGGGAAGATTAGTCCCCAGTTCCATCCCTTCCTCCCCAAGCCCTCCCCCTTCTGTGGGGAGGGTGCAGCTGGACCATGACCATGTGCCAAAATTCATTAAGTGGTCCCTCTGAGAAAATTTTCGCCCACCCCTGTGCTAGTATTTCACTAGGAGGTGCTGATGTATGTAAAACAGCAGTAGCAAGTCTGTTATTTAATCGGTGGTTTTCAATTCCTTTCTCTAGGAGTGCATCATTGATGAGGATTGTGAGAGAGGGAAATATTGCCAGTTCTCCAGTTTTGAGTACCGGTGTCAGCTCTGTAAAACCCAACGTTCCGTAAGTACCAAATTCTTATGTGGCCTTCAAAACCCGTCTCTCCACAAAATGGACCATAGTTAATGGCAGGAGATCAAAATTGGTATATAACTAGAAAGGTGGCTTGAGAACCCCACTGTGCAGCAGAAGCCAGGGGTGGAGCGACCTGAGAGCATAAGGACAGTAGCCAGAGCCTGGGGAGTGCTAACCAATCACACCAGCCCTGAGCAGTTGTCCCAATTCGCTGTACCCTATTGGTCAAGTTCTGTTGGGGGCTACATCAGCAAACACTAGAGTATCTCTATACATAATGCTTGTTCTTACTCTGCATATTCTTGTTTGTTATAGGGATTCTGTTTACTGATGTGTTAGGATCCAATCCAATTCTCAACCCAATCCAGCTGCAGCTAGAATTAAATTGGGCATTTACAGAAAAGAATTATTGTGATTCTATGCTGCCTAACATAAAATAAGTTGCACAATTTGTATAACTTCTTCCCGCACAGGTCATTAAGTATTTGAATCTGGGAACTTCAGAGCAAACCTCTGCCATTTAAGCTAAAGGATTAACTCCCTCAGCTGGTAGCACTGGTAGATTATCTTCCAGTGGTGACAACTCTCTTAGTCCTGCTAAGAGTAGAACAGCATATTTTTATTAATGGTTTTTATCTCCATATCCAAATGTATTTTTCATTCATATTTCTTTGGTAGCCTGGAGTGTAACAAAGTATGTGTTCAAGAGCTGTTCAGGAGATTTTACGTGCATATGAATTGTATATGAAAACTGGGTCCCAGACATACCTCAGATCCAAATATTCTCACATTACAAGGCAAGTTACACATGCTCACACTACAAGATGGCTTGAGTTCCAGCTCTGTGAGGGGAGCCAGTTTACAAATTACCCTTGTTTAATAATGAGCAGGTGTGCAGGCCATGATTCCAGTCCATCCTCCCAAGTCTCACCACTGTCCTGCTCACAAGAGTAAGTTGTCATGAGTGATGTGGAGAAAGCAGTAAACAGTGAAGTGGCAAAATTTGCAAGTGATACAAAACTTCTCAAGATAGTTAAGTACCAAGGAGACTGTGAAGAGCATCAAAGGGATCTTACAAAACTTCGGGACTAGGCAACAAGATGGCGGATGAAATTCAATTTTGATAAAGGCAAAGTAAAACACTTTGGAAAACATAATTCCAACTACAGTCATTAAATGATCTAAATTAGCTGTTAACACTCGAGAGATCACTTGGAGTCAATTGTAATTAGTTCTCTGAAAACATTCATTTAATATGCAACAGCAATAAAAAAATTAATAACATGTTGGGAATCCTTAAGAAAAGCATAGCTAAGTTAGAAAAGATCATATTGCCTCTATATAAATTCAGGGTACCCCCACACCTTGAATATTATGTGCAGAGGTGTAGTTGCCCAGCTCAAAAAAGATATGGGAATTGGAAAAGATCCAGAAAAGGGCAACAAATGATTATAAGGGTATGGAACAGCTGCCATAGGAGGGGAGATTAATAAGAGTGGGACTTTTCAGCCTGCTCAAGACACTGCTATGGGGGAATATGATGGAGATCTATAAAATCATGATTGGTGTGCAGAAAATAAATAAGGAAAGGTTATTTATGCCTTCTGATAACAGAAGACCTAAGGGTCACCAAATGAAATTAATAGGCAGCAGGTTTACAACTAGGGATGTTAAATATTGGCTAATTGAATAGTCGAGTAACCTCATGAATTCTTATCAGTTACTCAACTATTCTATAGTTCCCAGGGCCGGGGCTCGAAGTCAGTGCACTGTAGCCCCACTCCCAAGGAGCCCCCTGCCACTCTGTGCTGCTGCCTCCATGTCAGAGGCAGGTGCATGGGGTACCAGGCGGGAGCTGGTCTGTGAGGGGAGTCAGTTTAAAAACCAGCTCCCCATGCGGACCGGCTGCCTGTCGCTCCATGCTGCTGTCTCTGATACGGGGTGAGAGGGGGCATGAGCTGAGCTCCTGGAACTGAGGCAGGCTGCCTGCCAGCTTAGCTCCTAAAGGCAGAGCCACAGCAGGGGTAGGTCCCAGACCTGTTGCAAGCCAGGACTGAGCTAGGTTGCTGGCCCAGCCTGCTAATAAATTTATTGGCAGGGAAAGAGAAATGCATGTAGTCTATAACTTATAAGCTTTTGCTTATCACTTAATCAACTACACTGTTCCATCCCTATTTAACAAACAAACAAAAAGTAGTATTTTTTTCACACTACACAGTCAACTTGTGGGACTCCAGAGGATGTTGTAACAGGGCTCAGAAAAGAACTAGATACATTAATGGAAGATAGATCTATCAATGACTTATTAGCCAGGATGGGCAGGGATTGTAGCCTTAGCCTCAGTTTACCTGAAGCTGGGAATGCGTGACAGGATGTCTCTCTTGTTGTATTCTTTCTGTCTGGGGTACATGGCACTGGCCACAGTCCGCAGATAGGATACTTAGCTAAATGGACCTTTTGTCTGACCCAGTGTGGCTGTTCTTATGAGGGAAACCCCTCTGTCTGGGGAGGCGTCCATGATTATTGGGGAGGACTCTACACAAAGAGAGACCCCGCCATTGTCACTACTCTGTACCCTGATATTACCAGGAATCTGTGAGATGACTGATCTAATTATCAGAAAGAAACTAGAATGCTACAGGGTGCATATAGGGTTCTCTCTCCAGATATGGACCCCTGGTACATTTGCAGAACTGTTGACCTGGGAACCATCTTTCTCCAGAGACATTGCCTCTCTTCCCTCATTTGAGTGGGAGGTGGCCTTTTCTTTTTTTAAGCCTTGTGATTACAAAGTAGATGCAGCACTACTTTAAAGTGATTCAGATCTCATTAGGATTAATTTCCCCTTTGCAGTCAAGGTTTAGCACATGGGTAGCCCTGTTTTCATCAGTGGATTAGTCACATGCTTAAAGTTGAAAACACATAGAGAGAGCTGCTTGCAGGATCAGGGCCCTACATTTTTGCTTATCCTCTCAGTGGCTGCAGTGTGCTTCTATGCTGAGTTCAATGTTGGTGCTAAATTGATAAATTTTATGCAGTGATTTTCCCCCCTCATTCTTCTAAGCCTTGCTCACGTGATGTTGAATGCTGTGGAGATCAGCTTTGTGTCTGGGGTGAATGTGTGGAAGCTGTATCAAAAGGCGAAAATGGCACTATTTGTGAAAATCAACTTGACTGTAATCCAGGAACATGCTGTGCTTTTCAGAAAGGTAAACTGGTTTTGCTTTTTGATTCTATTCATTGTATAGTGCAAGAGGATCTTTGATTCAGCTGAAGTAGCAGAACCTCTGTGAAAATGTGCTGTGTTTTACTGTGGAGTCTGTTATGATAAAGCCTTTATAATAGAGTTAGAGTTGGGGAGCAAGAAGGTGCTTCCTACAGGAGTGCACTACAGTGAAAGTGCATTCTGGATTGGAACGGTGTGAACAAATAGTAGAGCGCAATTGTATAGCATGTTTGTAATGGGCAGCTACAGTTATTTAAAGACAGTACAACAGCCATGCTCACTTCAGCTATTTTTTCACCTCGACGATGGCCTCACTTTTGGTACCATAGGAGATTCACTTCACTTTTGGTACCATAGGAGAAACCTGCTGTTTTTTGCTCTGTAGAGAGGTAAATATTAGGTAGTCTCACTTTGCTCTGTCAAACTATTCTAGGTTTTGTGTAAGGTAGAAATCCTTGTGTTCAGTTTAAACTTCTTTCTCATTTTCAGTGGAGAAGTACAGCATCTCAGATGGGTCCCAGAATGAGGTGATGTGGCCACATGTCTTGTCTGGACCAACCATAGCCCGTTGTCCCAGGTTTCCAAGAAAAACAAGTCTATTCACAGCTCATGGTTCTGAGTATTGGGCTATTACGTTCATTGAGCATTGCTAATAGCCCTTGCTTAGCATGACTACATTAGTAACATAGATTTATATTTAATATTTATAACTTAAAATACAGGGATGATACCTACATACCAATAGGATAATCATTCAGTAGATTCCAAGCTTTCCAATGATCTCCCATGAATTATTTTGCATAAAGAATATTCCAGTTGTCATTCATATTAATAAGCATATTTTCATACAGCCTATGGTGTGTCCCATGGCAGAGGCAACTCTAGACTGCTCCAGTGCCAGGCATAATTGCCCAAATATAGATTTACCAGTGTCCAATCTTGTTTCAAAGATACAACAGTGCCTGCAAACCATAACATGGGCTTGTCCAAGACTTCAAGGCTGTATGGAAGCCCATATGTTTGATACTCTTTAGACTACACTGTCTTCAGCCTTTACAAATGAGAGTCAGTACCGTGGAGGGTTCTCTGCGCTCCCTCGGTTGGTGGAAAGGTCTGTGAAATGTGTGTCCTGCAGTATCCACCCACAAGAACTGTCACTAGTGACTACTTCCTGATGAGTGCGCACTGCTAAGAGCTCAGCTTCGTACTCAAGGAAGATGGAGTCTGAGGTGTTTGTTTCTGAGGCAACCATTTCCGACCCCGTCAGGGGCCATGTGATTAGAATAGTGCAGGAAAACAGAACGGCAGTATGTTAGTCGACAAGAAAGTGCAAGATCCAGGCTTTATGCACCATAATTATAAAACTATGGCTCTATCGCAGTGCATACAGATCTCGGTGCTTTATCTACCAGGGCTGCAGAACACAGGGGAAGACCACAGTTTAGCATTGACCACAAGTAGGAGCTTAACAGTGAGTGAGACTCATTTCTTGGGACCAGATAGATCTCTTTCTCACTCCATCCCTTGACTCTGCATAGTGCCTTATACTCATCATTTGGCTCCCTTATTGCCAAAAGTCCCAGGCAAACTGAAACAAAAAAATTTGTCACTGTCCTTAGAGCACCATCTTGATCGAGGCAGGTGTGGTTCCCACAGCCGATCCACTGAGACTGAATAAGTTCTCCCAGAAATCAGGATCAAACACTCATCTGAATCTATCAGCACTTCGTATTAAGGCTACTAGATGGCTCTCAGGTATAGAACAAGATTATGCCACCAAAGTACAAACCCACCACAGCCTGAGGAAGATACTGAGGAAAACTCCCATTTTGAACCTATGGCAAATAGGGATGTAAAATCCCATTTAATTGGTTAACTGGTTAAACATGTTTAACTAGTTAACCAATTAAAGGGGGTCCAGGTGGCGGAGGAGGAGGAGGGGAGTCACTCCAGTCTCACTGGTCTGGTGCAGCTGTCCTGCCCACAGAGGCCTCCTGTGGGGCTGGAGCAGCTCCCTGCCTGTGGCAAGCAGGAAGCTGCTCCAGCCCCCACCAATTAACTGGTGAACATCACCCACTTGAGGTGATACATTGATTTTAAACCAAAAAATCCCAGTAGGTTTCAACAGTTACTTCTCTCTGTGCTGCTTCCTCTGTAGAATGGTTTGTGTTTACCCATTTTTAGAAATCACTTTACTCCTCAGGCAAAGGGCTTTACAGAAATGCATGGTTGTCAGTTTATTGCCAAATTGTTCTGGCCTTTTGGTGAAGAGGATGGATATTGGCATAGCCTGACAATGATCCAAAGCACAGCATACGTGATTTGAAGTCTTACTCCATCTAGTGGAAAGGCAGGTGAAAGTCACACCTGTCTAATGGCAAGGAGCAGTCCTGTAGCACATTTGGTCATGTCTACACTAGAAACTCTTTCAAAGGTCCTACATTTGACTTAAGAACTCCTAATTTAACAGATTTGAACTCGTGTCTCCTCACTAGGGAGACGCATTGCAATTAGGCAGGCTTCGTTAATATGGATGCACCCCCTTGGACTTGTATCCACTTGTGTATTATATCAACTTAGTAAGGGAAGGTGCTATGAAGGAGCTATGCCTGCTGTGGTTCTGCAGGTTAAATGTAGCAGGAGCCAGGTGCGCTGGCAGCCCGGTTCTTACTACATTTAAACTGCAGAGCTGCAGTGGGGGTAGTGCCTGGACTTGGTGTGAGCTGGGCTTGATCAGTAACGGCTCAGACTGGGTCAAGCAGCCCCTGTCCGTCGGAGGTCCCAGGCACTGCAGAGACTGTTGCTGGGGGGGAACTTGGTTTTTAGATGCCCTCCTGCTGCCTCAGAGAGAGGGAGCAGGAGTGGGGAAATGCAAGTAGTCAGCTAATTGACTATGCTTTTACCTCCATAGCATTCACACTAATGTTTTCAAAATTACTATTTCAGAATTAGCGTTACTCACAAAAAGCAGGAATACTGAATTTGAATTCCCTGACCTGGTATTTTGAATAATGAGCTTGCTAGTGTGGAAGCTCCACTTACAAATTCGAACGTGTAAGAGGTTATTTCAAAGTAAGGTCCTAGTGTAGACCAGGACTTAGAGACTAACAAATTTGAGGGTACAAAGCTCATGATCCAATACATTTCTTAGTCTTTTAAGGTGCCACAGGATGCCTCATTTTTAAAGTGACAAAGTAAAACAGCTACCCCTGAGACCTCTCTAATGGGTGAGGGATTGAAAAAGCTCACTGAATATTTCCTGTGCAGAACTGAATAACTACACCATGACTCAAAATCCTTTCATCATTGTTTTGCATGCAGACCTTCTGTTTCCTGTGTGTACTCCATTGCCTGAAGCAAGAGAACCGTGCCTTGATCCTTCAAACAAACTCCTGAATCTGATCACATGGGAGCTGGAACCAGGTGGCGTGCTTGAGCACTGCCCATGTGCAAGTGGCTTGATATGCCAGACTCATAGGTAAGGCATTGGGAGGATCAAAAGGTCATACCCCCACGTCCCATTTAAACCCTTTTGAATGTGTGTGTGAAACTCTACAAGCCTGCACTGTGTAGTTCCTCGGGGCAAGCTGCTTAGTGCTGCAAAGGCTGTGAAAAGCTTAACTGCTTTCTTCAACCCTAACTGGAAAAAATCCTCACTAGTATAAGAACGTCTAAAACTGCTTTGCATTGTCTTAACACGCTGCTATTTCTGCCTGTCAGGAAGTGGCTACAGGTCTTTGGGTCCAGGTCTTTGGGTAGCCATTATAAAAGCAACAGTAGATTGTCATTGCAAGTGATGTTTGATAGGGTTGAATGATATTATTTTTTGTCCAGTGTCACTTCAGTTATTTGATCTGATTGTGATTGACACTGAGAAATACTGAAGGGGAGGAAGCAATCTAATCTGTCAGTTGTCTGCTGCCTCATGCACTGGAAATATCCACAATGTATTTGTTTGTATTCTGGTAGCTAGCTATAAAATACACATAGTTCACTAAAAGACATGCCACTATATTTCCCTTTTTTCCTGACTAGCCCTCTAGTCAGTGGAGAACAGGTGCCTTGTTCTGAAGACTCTCACATAATTTTGTGCAGACTTCCCCAGTAATATTTCTAGTCTCTCATCCTTCATGGAAAGGACAAATAGGAGTCTACAATCTTTGCTGTGAATTAACAGTTAAAAATGCACCTTTAACCTCTCTGCTCTTAGGTCAAATTTTTGTATTTTGAAATAATCAGCCATATTTAAATAAAAGCAGGTTGGGTGTCACAAAGGGAGATCATTAGCTTTAGCTTTCCTAAACAGTTCAGGGAAAAACACAGGTAAGTGGAATTACTTCAATCACAGAGTGAAGTTATATAAGTTTCTCATTACACTATGAAACAAAATACAGGTTAGACCTCCCTGGTCTGGCACCCTTGGGACCCGAGTGGTTCCAAACAAGGGAGTTTGCTGTACCAGGGGAGGGTAATCCCAGCCCCTCTGCTGACTGACTGTGAGCTCTCCTGCGGTCCATCAGCAGACACTGCTGCCACTAGGCTCTCTAGTCCAGCAACATCTGTGGTCGGTCCAAGTCAGACTCCCAGACCAGAGTGGTTCAACCTGTGGTTCAATTTCCATAGGCTGTAAGGAATTAATTTAATATTTTCACGTTGTCATCTCTGCCCAGCCCCTCTCCACATCAAGTTTTTCTAGCACAGCAACATTTTCCCTCTCCCCAGCAATGCAATTCATTTGTGGGATTTCATGTGAAGGCAGAGTTCATGGGATGTCTTCTGCTACAGCACGTAGTTCATCATTTCATTTCAACACTAACATTTGTTACATCAGTTTAATTCTGTTGATCTCAGCAAGACACTATTAAATGCCTATCACACCTGCCATCTGTTCTTTGGCAATTAAATAAAAGGATACCGCTCCATGGCAAGAAGCCAACACTGAACAAAGTAGGACTTAGATGTATTGAACAACTCTGCTATGGGCACTTAATGTTTAGAATGACTTTGCCACTGACAGAAGTCCAACTTGCCTGATTTTTTTCAGAGACTAAGGGCTACACAGTGGGACAGATCTCATTTTAAGAGACTGATATGAACTAAGTTCAGCCTCCACCACGAAATTATATTAAATGTAATATACTGGCTATTCAGAATACTGTCAGCAGGCAAACATTCTACATATTTGAAGGAAATAGATGTGGCCAATTTACACGGAGTCATTTTTCAAGTTACCCATATAGTTGAAGTGAGAGACAGACTAAGATAGATAATACAGAACTATTAAATAGGCAGACGTGTTCTTTAGGTCCTAATATGGCCTGAGACACATGAACTCCTCCCAAAATTGTATTTTTTTTTGTGTGTGGCCAATCTTCAGTAAGCATGAACATAGGCAAAATCCCCAGATCCAGTACAAAGGGTACCCTTCCTGCTACATGTAGCTCACTGGACTTCCTATTCAGAACAACAATAAAAATCTTTAACCTGAGGGCTGAGATCAATAAAGCTAATCACAACTTCTCAAATGTCAATTTTGGCAAATTTCTTCCTCTCAAAGGATTACTCATTCCAGGGGCTTTTCCCCCCAACATTTTACAGCACATCTCAAACTCAGCTTTCATGAGCTGTGCATTACTTGCTATAATCAGATGTCTTACCAATTCAAGTGAATGGTTTTGGAAGTTTTGTTCTTCCCTTTTACATGGCAAGGGTGCATGCGTGAAGTTAGTTTTTCACTTCAACAAAACAGAAATGACTAGTCTCAACACTAACAGCAGGATGCTTGCTTTTTCAACAGACTCAGCCCTGTGTCTGTATGTGAAGCATCCTTTAATGATACCAGAAGTAATGAAAAGGAAGACCCTCTGCTAATGGATGAAATGCCATTTCTTGGTTTGATACCCAGAGATGTGCTTGGTGATTATGAAGACATCAGCATCATTCAGGCACTGCGGAAAGAATTAGAAAACCTGGAAAGAAATATTTCTGAACAGACATATTTAAATGAGCCAGACTTAGCTCATGATCTGCTCTTTGGAGAGGATTTAAATTAAATACAGGGTAGATTGGTCACTGACACTATACAATTTAAGTTTCTAGACACATCTAGTATTTTGCTTGTATAAATCCTAAAGACACATACTCTGCTGGATAGAAGTGCAATAAATAATATTTTAAAGTTGTTTCTTCCTATTCTCTTTCCCCAAACCTTCAGACTTAAATCCATTCATAAGGTTGGACTAAAGTAAGTCAGAAAGGGTATGTGTGGGCCAATTATCAGTTTTCCTTGGACTAGTTATTCTGTCCAGGGTTCCAAAATACTTAGTACTGTAGCTTGTTATGAAGAAGAAATGGGTGTGTCAAAGGTTCATACATAATCTCATTTAAATTATTGATGACACTAAAGTGAAAATTTTAAGCATTGCCTTGTCTGTACATATATTTTGGAAGGGTTGTTAATGTTCTAGGGTAAGGAAATTCCTGCTTGGTTTAGGTTGATTATTTTGGGGGCACTGGTCTTCAGCCATGTATGTTTCTTTTTAAAATATATAATCATAGTGAAGCTGCAATAAATATGGTTTCTGTTCAGTTATTTAAAGCTTTTAAGAGGCTGGGAAGGCATGGATTCCTCTCTCCAAACCTCCTCCCCCCATTTTTTTCATAGGCTTGGAATTTTGAACAAAGTATAATAAAGAATACATCCTTTTAACAGCTTACATAAAAAACCAGAATTTAGGCAAATGCACATAGGGACACATACAGTGCAGCTGATACTTGCATCTTGCACTCTCTACCACTCTTCTTTTAATCGTGATGTCACAAAGCTATTAAGTATGTGCCAGACTTTCTGTACCAGAGGATAATCCCAGTCCAGAAATGTAAGATTTTTTTCCCTTTCCTGATTGGTCTGCCTTTAGTTCATAAACTGGCTGCCTTGGATGTGATTGCTTATTATAAAAAGCTCTGACCCACCACCCACCTGTAAAAAGTCCTTGAAAGGTCCACTCAAAGTATTACCCTTGCTTACTATCATGGCAATATTGCTACAATATTCTGTGTTCATGCATAGTACTTGGCATAAGGCTATTTTACAAGACCCTGGGGACCTTAGGTGGGAGTAGGTCATATACTTCAGCAATTTTGTGTAACATTAATGCTAAGACAATTTGAGATGAGACTATGAAACAGACCTTCGTGCTACTAACAGCATATGTCAAGAGTCAGCAGGGAATGTTCTGGTTTGAGATAAAGCCATTACTGTGAGCGGAACCTCTTTCATATAAAGACTCGTTAGCATCTCTACAGTTTTGACAACTACAGTTTACCAGAGCCATGCTGTGATGCAATAATCTGAAATGCATCAATCCTTACTGACAGCTAGCATACACCTGCTTCTTGACATTTTGGGAATGGTGGGGGATCATCTTCCCTGAGGACAGTCTGACTGAGAACAAGAGGCAGGGGTAATGTTTGCTACAGTGCAGATTAAGCTTTCACCTGCAGTAGCAGTTAACTGAGAGCAATATATGACCTCAGTCCTAATGAGGACAGTAGGTAATAATGGCCATTTTGAAGGGCAACATTTCACTTATGAAGAGCAGAAAAGAATTTAAAATACATTTCGAACCTCTCTAGTTCGGCACCCTCAGGACCTGACTGGTGCTGAACCAGAGAATTTGCCAGACCATAGTAGGTAAATATTGTCTAGCAGCATTACCTTACTGGACTCTTAGAAGACATTTAATGATAAAAGACACAATAATAGCGTCGGAGAGCCAGGACAGGTGGCTGTAAACAAACTTTATGGGACCACAGGAAACTTGCTACCACTATGATAAGTGGACATCAAGCTAACTAAAATCAGGCCAGACCAGGGATGTTGCCAGAACAGAGTGAAGTAGACTAAACCGTATCAATCAGTATTAATTTTAAAGCTGGGGGGGGGGAGGGGAAAGGGGGACCATGCCCAGAATCTTGTATTAAGTGATGACCCAACTGGATAAAGGAGGTAAACTAGTGGCAGATGATGTGGGGAAAGCTGAAGTACTCAATGCTTTCTTTGCCTCTGTCTTCATGGATAAAGGTCAGCTCCCAGACTAATGTGCTAAGTGACACAAGATGGGATGAAGATGGACAGCCCTTGGTGGGTAAAGAACAGGTTAGGAACTCTTTAGAAAAGCTAAATGTACATAAATCCATGGATCCAGAGTTAATGTATCTGAGGGTACTGAGGGAGTTGGCAAATGTCATTGAGGAGCCTTTGGCCATTATCTTTGAAAAGTCATGGAGATTGGGAGAGCTCCTGGGATGACTGGAAAAAGGCAAATGTAGTGCCCATCTTTAAAAAAGGGAAGGAGGACAATCCAGGGAACTATAGGCTGGTCAGTCTTACCTCTGTTCCTGGAAAAATCATGGAAGGGATCCTTAAGGAATCCATTTTGAAGCACTTGGAAGAGGGGAAAGTGATCAGGAATAGTCAACTTGGATTCATAAAGGGCAAGTGGTGGCAATCTGATTAGCTTCTATGATGAGGTAACTGGCTCTGTAGACATGGGGAAGTCAGTGGATGTGATATACCTTGACTTTAGCAAGGCTTTTGATAGTCTCCCACAATATTCTTGCCAGCAAGTTAAGGGAATGTGGATTAGATAAATGGAGAGTAAGATGGATAGAAAGCTGGCTAGAAGGTCGAGCCCAGCAGGCAATGATCAATGGCTTGATGTCAGGATGGTGGTCAGTTTCTCTGATGAGGCCACATCTGGAGTATCATGTCCTGTTCTGGGTCCCCCCCACTACAAAAAGGACATAGATGTATTGGAGAGGGTCCAGCGGAGGGCAACCAAAATGATTAGGGGGCTGGAGCATATGACCTACAAGGAGAGACTGAGGGAGTTGGATCTGTTTAGTCTGCAGAAGAGAAGAGTGAGGAGGGATTTGATAGCAGCCTTCAACTTCCTGAAGGGAGGTTCCAAAGAGGATGGAGAAAGTCTGTTCTCAGTAGTGACAGATGGCAGAACAAAGAAAATGGTCTCAAGTTGTGGCAGGAGAGGTCCAGGTTGGATATTAGGAAAAACTATGTCACTAGGAGAGTGGTGAAGTACTGGAAAGGGTTACCTAGGGAAGTAGTGGAGTCTCCATCCCTAGCGATCAAATCTTGGCTTGACAAAGCCCTGGCTGGGTTGATTTTGCTATGATTGGTCTTGCCTAGGGCAAGGAGCTGAACTTGATGACTTTCTAAGGTCTCTTCCAACTCTATGGTTCTATGACAATGGGGAGTGGAGAGACTTTAGGGAACCTGTATTGTTTCTTACAAGTGAGTGAGATGGTAGAATTTCTTAAAATGTGCCTTTTTACTTTCCTCTGAAGAATCTTCCGAGCATAAAGGTGCTCTAAAGAAGTTGTACTCAATTCCCCCTTCCCTCAGAACAACTAAAATCTATTGTTTAGCCTACTTCTCTCTCACCTACTTTTCCCTTTGACCCAAGTGTGTTTAGTATAAAGGTCATGATCAAGAATTAAAAACATATACCAATTTACTTTATTGGAACAACTTGTATCCCAGTCTCCCACCCTAGGTAATCTATTATGAACGTATTAGCATATAGACCAGAATACTCCCTGATTCTCTGGATTTGAAGATTCAGATATGAAGTGACTGCCTTTAAAAAAAAAGTGAACATATACAGTTACATGAAGAAATTCTATAATTTCTTTCCAGGTTAAAAAAAATCTACAGAAGTTTAATGATTAAAATAATGCAACAGAATGAACAAATGTTTTATTGGCATGTTCACTGTTGTTAACAGCATTAGGCATGAAAAAAGTTTACCAAAACCTTTTATTGATTGTTATAAATTAGATATTTCCAATTTTCTACATAGTTTTTGTTCTCAATTGATCTTTATGTAGATAAGCAAAAGCCTGCTGTTTTTAGGCTTTGCAATGAAATCATGTTGACTGCTTCAGTCTGCACCACAACCTGAACTACCAGCAAGTTTATACTATGAGGTGTGAGAGGTTGCCCAAATATTTAAACTACAAATAACTATGAATCAACTCCAGGAAAAATTAAAGTGACTTGCAATGGAAAAAATTAAAGAAGATGCAAACTTGTAATAAAGTGTTCAAAAACAAAAGTACAAAAATAAGTAACAGGAAAAAAAACCAAAACCAAAACAAAAAACACACCACCAACCTTGCTCCCCCATTAACAAAGGGAAATGCAACCCGAGTAAGAAAAACAAAACACACCACCAACCTTCCTCCCCCATTAACAAAGGGAAATGCAACCCGAGTAAGTACCCAGCATTGCCAAACATAAAATACAAATTTAAATAGGCAGCTATACTTTCAAATGTACACAACAAATATTGATATGTGAAAAGAAATACAATGGTAAATAGCTGAACTATATTTCTGCCAACTGGATAGGGAAGATTTTATTTACACATTGAATGCAATAAAGTAAAGTTGCTCTTCTGCTTCCATGAGCTATTTAAAAAGTTACCTTACAATATTTGAGCAAAATGAGCCAAGACCTCCTGGTAACTTTCCAAAAGTACCTGTTTTAGACTGTGTTTTAAAGGAAGAATAGTCCAAAGATTCTTGTAAAACTTCACACAACTTTTACAGCTGGCTTGAAAATTCCATTAAATCTTTACCCCCATTTTTGCTGCTTTCCAAAAGCTAATGTGTTCCATTTATTTCCCAACCTTCAATGAGGTAATGTGTGTATCACTGAAACAAACAAAAAAGAATTCATTCATGGCCTTTGCACAGCTTTTATTATTAAGCTATGAGTATCCTGTTTGATGCTAGTTTTACTAGCTACTCTGTGCACACTGTCCTTGATCATTTCCCTCACCCACCCCATTTTTTTCCACTCAATGTTTTCTATTTGCACATCCCTTTTGCTTTACAGTACATTTGACTATAGTGCACAACATGATTCAAAGTCAAACAGTGGCCCAACGGGGCACTGAGCCTCTGATTGGTAAATTGCAGCCCAATCAGTGCTGGGTGTCATTGCTTTACACCTAATGAGCATCCTGCCATAATGGCACTACACAGTAGTAGTGAACTTTTTTTTTAATTATTTAAAACAAAAAAATTCCCAAGGAAAATGCTATAATAAATTTCAGTCTTGAGCCATCTCTTTATTTGGGGCACCATCCAAATAAATT